TAGTGGTGGAAGAAGTATTCAGTAAAAGTACTAGTACATTAACTTACTACAAAACTACAAGTAAAAGCCCTTCATTCAAAGTACAAAAGTATTATTAGTAGTTGTAGCCAACTGAGTTGGAAACAGTTTTAACAACTTACAGTACATTTCAGTGTTTTAGTGCATTGGTTCCCAACCTAAGGACTGAGCCCCTTCAAAGGGTCACAAGATCATAAATCTCGGGAGTCGTGAGATAATTATAGGAGGAAGGGAAAAAAATGAGGTCTACTATACACATTTGCAGTCTTTTTTAGCAATATTTGACAATTCTTTTCTCAGTTATTTAAATGAATCCAGCTGGGGAGTTTAGTTGGGAAATGTCTCTTTTGTGGAACTGCTTTGGTGGAAACATGACTAGGGCCCTTAACTTCACACTATTCTTCTGTAAGGGGACACACCCTTTGGGAACTTTAATCAAACAATTTTTTTTCTAATGTAAAATCTAATTTAACTAGTAACTAGAACTGTTACATGCACGCAGTGGAGTAAAAAATATAATATTTTATAAGTGGCATAACTTGAATATACTTAAGACAGTTACAGTTAAGCACTGTACTTGAGTAAATGAACTTAGTTACTTTCCACTGGAATAAATGTGTAAATATTAGATAGGAAGTGGCTGTCTTATTGCAGTCATGACCAGTACAGTAGAGTCCAGTAAAAAAAAATAATAATTTGGCCTCATTCAATCATTCAGGAACCACTGATACAAACAGATCCGCCGTTAAGTGAATTGTGTTTCAAGCCTGTCCACAGTGGAAACCCTTCATCTGCCTGAATAATCGTAATGCCTTAATCTGAATAATCTTTAGTTTAAACATGTTACTGAAATCAACTGTAAAATTAATATTTTGTTCACTGACCTCTTTTCTCATTCCGAGGCTTCGTGGCAGGAGTATCTGCTGTTTCAAAATCGGCAAGCGGACCACAATTCACTTGTCTTCGCTGCTGCACCTCCATCTTGAACCAAACCAACCAAGACAGGATCCCATCTTGATACATTAGTTCTCATTGGCTGAGCCTTCTACGGGCTCGATACCGGTGTGACATTACTGCTGACTGCTGGAGCTGACCACAAGGTCTTGTCTCCCATACAGAGTAACAAAATACAGAGAATGGCTGCAAAAATCCACCCATCCGTTCTCTAAAGCGCTTTTCCTGTTAACTGTGAGAACACAGGAATAATCAGACTGCTCTTTACAAACAATATATCAGCTTTACTCAGTTTAGTTTTTTTGCTGCAAAATGTATATTGCCTACTGAATCACTATAATTGTTACTCAAAAGGTAGTAACTAGGAGGAAATGAAGGATGAATGGATGGAAGCAGGGTAGAGGAGATAGAATTAGAAAGCCTTCTGTGCTCCAGCCTCATAGAGGAGACGCCAATTGACTGTGATTGCATTCTTAAAAAACATCCTTTAAAGGGAGCCGTTTATTCAAATTCAATCCACATGTGGTCTTTTGCTGTTTAGCAATTATAGCTAATACACACATACTGTAAGTTGTGCAGGATACGTGTTGCTAATCGAAAAATAACCTCCTGGCAACTTCTGTTGCTCAGAAACAGTGTTTTCTTGTTTGTGACTCATTTTCTCTGTCAATTTTTCAGCATATGGCAATTTCAAAGTTGTGTGTCCTCATTAGTCCTTTGTCCACATCCTTGCTCAAGGCAGACATAATGAGACAACAAGCCAGTTTTCAGCGTTCGCCCACAAGCGTGCTCTGGCTT